CACTGTGGTTATGCGATCAATATATATATATATATATATATATATATATATATATACGTAGCTTTTCTCTCTTTATATATAGATTATGTAGATATATATTTATAGGAAACTAAGGTTTCTCTCTCACTGTGCATATGTATCATCAATGTTTATATGTGTGTATGCGAGCACATATACACGCATACATATCGTAATGAATCGGTTTGTTTTCAATTTTATTTCTATTTGTTTTGCCATATTTAAGTCGAGTTCAATCTTCCCTTGTTGCTCGATTTATATAACATTGGGTTAAACTTGATTGCAATAAGTGTTTTTCGTAATCCACTAAATTAATTAGTAACTTTTGTCACTAAAATTTTATTAATTAATATTGTCGATATTATTACCTCAAGTAGCTACCTAGAAATGTAGGTAATCCCGAAATGACTTGAAAAAAGCCTTTGAATTCACCGTAGTAGTCAATTGTGAGTCAATAATACGAGATTAAAGATATGAGTCAGCTCTGTTTGCATGTTAGTCTATATTTATGGATGAGAATTCCTGCGTTAATGTAATCAGATCAAATCTGCCACTCAGTTTCAGAAACAGAAACGAAGCCCTCTACAAAATTGGATCCAGGAAAAGTCATTTGCCGAGCGTCTCTATCACGTAGACAAATTATAAGACGGGAAATAATTATTTTTGTATATTTGCTCAAGTAAATCGTAAAAAATTCAAACTGATAGAAATATTTTCGGATAACGGTCAAATTTAATTCACTCGTTTTAGTCGGATATAATTTCATCTAATTCTTCTGTTCAAACAGCCATTGAACCATCACAGAATTCAGAAGTTGTTAATGATATTTTTTTAATTTATGTTTCCGAATTACCTCTTAATCATACCTCAACAACTTACACCAAATTTTCACTTACGTTTGGAGGAGAGAATGAGACAACAAATTGTCTCCCTCTCCAGACGTAATTGTGACGTTTGCTAGGAAAGTAATGTAACTGTTGATCGATGGTGCAAGCCACACAGATGTACAGCTTATATTAGAAATGATTACACTGAAGTAATTCCGATATTGTGTTAAACGGAGGTAATTAGTTTGAATCCGAATAATGCTCTGCAATATATTGTTTTGTCTTTCGAAAGCAGGTTTCTCCATACCATAAACGATAAGGAAATTTTGTTTTGCGAAATCTTTATTCGTTACTTGTGTATAACTATTAACCCGAATAATTATTTGATACTGAATTTACCGAATCTTAAATATATTAAACATTATCAATATGAACATCATTTCTGATAGTGCAACGATTATTGATCTGGTCTTGTATGTGTGTGCTCTAGAAATGTAGGTTTGGCTTTGTCTAAGAAAGAAAAACGAAAAGAAAGAGTATAATTCATGAAGGAACAATAAGTATTTTTAAATAAAAGGAGCAATTAAAGAAAAGACATCAATTGGAAAAAAAGGGGATGACAAAATGATTACAACTGAAGCAAAACGAAAAATGTGAACGCACTTAGAAAATAAGCTCCAAGTTTACCGCATTTTTCATTTTATGGGACGCAGGCAATAAGTTCACTTTTTATTCATTCACTTATTTCTTCTTTTCAAAGTTATATTCTTGGTGAGGTCAAGAGTTAAAACATTAGCCAATATAGTATGGCACTATGCTTGATTTGCCTCAAAACACTGACATACTATGGGAATGTCATCTGTAACAACAAAATGTCACATAAGGTAGACATTATGCCATAACTGAAAGAGAAAAATGATGCCTTGTGAACGTTTTCATGAGCTCTGGGTGAAGAGTTACAAAGGACTAACTAAGCAATAGCGGAGACACTGGCGAATTTTCTATCAAGTTATTCCATATTTGGACCAAAATTGAATAAGCAAAGGCATTGATCGTCTAAAAATGAAAGGTTAGGCAGTATTTAATGTTGGATGAACCACTCTTTGAAGAGAGGCATAAACCCACAAATCTCTCTAATAGAATTATGCAAATGTTAATACATGCCAATAGAAAAACCGATTCAAATCTAAGCAGAAATAAATTCTATTTAAAAAGAAATTATCAAAAGATAAAGAGGGCTGTTGAAAATATAAATAATTGAGAACTAGAAGCAAAGGAAAAAGTTTTAAGAACTTGTTTCCTCGATAGGAACGTATACTAAAGCGAGTTATAGCGAAACAAGCACATTTGACGAATGCTCAGATCATTGAACAAGCTGGAAATGAGAGGGTCAAGAAGGACAAAAGGTGTAGAATACTTAGTAATTTGTGATCTATCAAGAAACTTAGGTAAACTCATCTCAGCAAAGCAATTGTTTTAAAGCGTTAAAATTGGTCCAAGAAACACATGAAAATTGAATTTTCTAAAGAATTTTTTACGAATGAATCTCAGTTGAATCTCCATGGACCTATGTGAATCAGGCCTATGTGAATCAGGCCTAGGTGAAGCAGGCATATGTGAAGCAGGCCTAGGTGAAGCAGGCCTAGTTGAAGCAGGCCTATGTGAAGCAGGCATAGGTGAAGCAGGCTTAGTTGAAGCAGGCCTTTGTGAAGCAGGCCTATGTGAAGCAGGCCTATGAGAAGCAAGCCGAGGTGAAGCAGGCTTAGTTGAAGCAGGCCTATGTGAAGCAGGCCTATGATAATTAGGCCTATGCGAAGCAGGCTTAGGTGAAAAAAACCTATGTGAAGCAGTCCAATGTGAAGCAGGCCTATGAGAAGCAGGCCTAGGTGAAGCAGGCTTAGTTGAAGCAGGCCTAGGTGAAGCAGGCCTAGGTGAAGCAGGCCTATGTGAAGCAGACCTAGGTGAAGCAGGCCTATGAGAAGCAGGCTTATGTGAAGCAGGTCTTGGTGAAGCAGGCCTTGTTGAAACAGGCCTATGTGAAGCAGTCCTAGGTGAAGCAGGCCTATGAGAAGCAGGCCTATGTGAAGCAGGTCTTGGTAAAGCAGGCCTAGGTGAAACAGGCCGATGTGAAGGATGCCTATGTGAAGCAGGCCTAGGTGAAACAGGCCTATGTGAAAGAGGAATAGAAGAAACAGGCCTAGTTGAAGCAGGCCTATGTAAAGCAGGCCTAGGTGAAACAGGCCTATGAGAAGCAGGCCTATGTGAAGCAGGTCTTGGTGAAGCAGGCCTAGGTGAAACAGGCCGATGTGAAGGAGGCCTATGTGAAGCAGGCCTAGGTGAAACAGGCCTATGTGAAACAGGCATAGAAGAAGCAGGCCTAGTTGAAGCAGGCCTATGTAAAGCAGGCCTAGGTGAAACAGGCCTAGGTGAAGCAGACCTAGGTGAAGCAGGCCTATGAGAAGCAGGCCTATGTGAAGCAGGTCTATGTGAAGCAGGCCTAGATGAAGCAGGCCTATGAGAAGTAGGCACTATGTGAAGCAGGCCTAGGTTAAACAAGCCTATGTGAAGCAGGCCTCTGTGGAGCAGGCCTAGGTGAAGCAGGCCTAGGTGAAGCAGGCCTAGGTGAAGCAGGCCTATGTGAAACAGGCCTAGGCGAAGCAGGCCTATGTGAAGCAGGCCTAGGCGAAGCAGGCCTATGTGAAGCCGGACTAGGTGAAACAAACCTATGTGAAACAGGCCTAGGTGAAGCAGGCCTAGTTGAAGCAGGCCGATGTGAAGCAGGCCTAGGTGAATCAGGCCTATGTGAAGCAGGTCTAGGTGAAGCAGGCCTATGAGAAATAGGTCTATGTGAAGCAGGCCTAGGTTAAACAGGCCTATGTGAAGCAGGTCTATGTGAAGCGGGCTTAGTTGAAGCAGGCCTATGTGAAGCAGGCCTATGTGAAGCAGGCCTATGTGAAGGAGGCCTATGTGAAACAGGCCTAGGTGAAGCAGGCATATGTGAAGCAGGCCTAGGTGAAGCAGGCCTAGTTGAAGCAGGCCTATGTGAAGCAAGCCTAGGTGAAACAGGCCTAGGTGAAGCAGGCCTATGAGAAGCAGGCCTAGGTGAAGCAATTAAAATCACCATGTCAGAAATTTAACTCGATGAAGTAAAAAAAATTAATAAAATCAATGAATGGATTGCTAGCTGTTATTGAGAAGAAGAGTCACCATAATAAGACTTATGTTCTCTTATATGTGTTGATCGTGTGTTGATGATTTTATTGCCTTAATATTGAAATAAAAAGGGATTTTTGGTTTTGCATAATAACTTCAAACTGCAGTTTTTATAATAAATCCAAGAAAACATGTTGAAACTACCTAAAAATTTAACTCAAGTTTTGTTTTGACGTCAAAATTAACTGTTTAAAATTTGACAAAAATTGTTCACAGCAAATTCGACTTATTGAGGTTTATTGAGTTGCATAATAACTAAGACGGAATCTATCTATCTATCTATCTATCTATCTATCTATCTATCTATCTATCTATATTGCTCTATTCACACTGTAATCTCTGTTCACTATTTCTTTTATTCGTAAGAGTTCTCTATCCTAAATATAAATTCTAGGCAGTGGCTCAAAATCAGTTTATGAGCAGGTATGAATACACTGAAATTCACATGCTATTAGCTATCTGAATTTTGTAATAAGGTTCGATTTCAAAAAGAAATTTGATTTCTGAAAATAGCCAATTGATCTTCTAAACATATTTTAATTATATGACTCAACAAAACAAGTAAAAAGACCAATGCATAGATAAAAAGGAATATGATTCAAAATCTTTATTTTGAATAAAAATAGCCAAGGAAAAAGAAAACTTTGTAGCGTCAAGATTTAACGTATTGGTTAACGGAATTATAAAAGTGAATCTCATTACAAGCATAATCTTATGCAGAAAAATAAATTATCGAAACATTTACTTGAATTTTCAGTGAGAATTTCATCGTCTTGAAGAACGATACGATTTTTCCATTGAGTTCTCGCAGCTCGGAGATTAGCGTCACAAATACAAATATCAGTTATTCATTTATATATAATTTAATTTATTACTTTGTTAAACATTCACAAAACGTCTAATAGATGCAGAATTCACGAATTTATTGCAAAGCACAAAATGTTAAGTTTTATTTCCAGTAATAAGAATAAAAACTTCTATTGCAATGTCATTTAAAAAACACCAAATGATGAAGGGATGAATTCGATGATTGTTGCAAAGGTGGAACAAAGTAAGTAGGTCTTGCGAATGTGAAGAAAAGCGATAAAAAGAGGTGATATGAGAGAATAAGACCCTAAAAAAAGAGGTGATAATGGCGACAGTAATAATCGCAAAGGCAGATGGAAAATAATCAATAATGAAGAAATTTAGTAACAGAAGGAAAGAATGGTGACGGTAAGAAGAAGTAAAGGAAGAAAGAAAATTTAGGATGGAAATAAAAACTGTTGGGAGAGTAAAAAATGGAGAAGAGAAGATCAATGGAATGAGAAAATAATAAAGAATGTTAAAAAGAATGTTAAAAAGAATGTTAGAAAGAATGTTAGAAAGAATGTTAGAAAGAGAAGAAGGAGTGAAAAGAGAAAACCTATAAAAATGAAAATCTGCTAATGAGTGAATGATGGACGATCGAGAGTTAAGAAAAACGGTAATCAGCTAAAAAAAATGAATGGGTGGGGAGAAGGAAAATGAAGAAGATGAGTATGAAAATGAGAAAGAAGTTTTTATGAAAGGAAGCGAAAAATGAAAGAAAAGGAAGAATTAAAAGAATAAAACAGAGAAGCAAAGCAAGAATGAAAAAAGTAGAGAGGACATGAAAGAGGGAAAAGATCAATAAATGGGAATTGATAAATTACTTCGTATTTGAGATACATTTGTATTTCCCATCGATTCGAAAGCATCATTATCGAGCCCAGATAAAATTCATAATTTCTAATGCTGATTCCCAAGCCATTTAGACAAGACACCCCAAATTGAATGCTTGGCGCATCACAATCTTTTATTTAACATTGCATCGTATCAAATTAAGCTTAATAGATATTGATAAAGAAAACCCGATAAAATTTAGAGGAAAATGAAAGTAGATAAAATAGAAAAACAAATAAAGGAGAAAGTGATGAAGGAAGAAAGAAAACAAGAAAAAAAGCAAAAATGACGGTACAGAATAATAGAAAGAATAGATGGGACGAGTAGGTTAAATGCATCTGTTATTGTATGAGAGCTAACCGACATATTTGATCGGCAGGGGTCCATTCTATTTTCTTATATGTTTATTAATCTTCTTGACAGGATCCAAGAGAAAGACATTCATCAATGCGCCAAACAAGCCTTAATATTACTGCAACCATTTGCATTTATCCTTAAAATTGATTCCCTTTCTTTTCTCCTTTTCGTTAAATTCTCAAATCACAATGTGATTTCATGACGTTCAGTAAATGTTTCAGGTTAGAATCTCAGATTAGATCCGTAAAGGGGAGGGGGAGGATATATTGGGTTTATTTACGTCTACTAATATTTGTATAGAAAGAACAGAAAGAAAAAAGATCAAAAGAAATTCGGTTTCAGAGAAGAAGAAATTGAAATTATCGTAAGAAAGAAAGACTTGAAAGATTGAGTGCGACAAGAATAAAGAAGACAATATGAAATTAGATTATAAAAGTTAATGATAATACTTTTGTTTTCCTCGAAATATTCTCCGATTTTTAATGGAAGTGATTTGGAATAGGTTGTAAAAAGATATTGGAAAAGATTAAAGATAATAGAAAATTGTAAAGAGATAGAATCTGAAAAAGATTGTCAGGAACTTGAAGAAAGCGAAAACTTAAGGAAAAGGAATTAGAAAACAGTGAAATACAGAGGAATACAATGGCCGAAAAAAAGCAGGAGGAAAAAAAAGATACTTTGAATTTATAGGAAAAAATGGAAATGAGAAATGAAAGAAAATGAGGAAACTAAGTTAAGGAGAGACAAAGTTATTGACGAAGGAGATAGAGAAAAGAGAGAACGAAAAGATATGAGTGCAGATGCTGGCAAGAGAGAGAGAGAGAGAGAGAGAGAGAGAGAGAGAGTGTGTGTGTGTGTTTGTGTGTGTGAGAGAGAGAGAGAGAAAGGGAGAAGGAAAAGGAAAAAGACTGGGCAAAAACGAATATTGATGTCATTTACGGTTGGATCTTAAATTGATTTGGGATTTCAATTCTTTAAATTAATCAAGAAACAACAATAACATTCTGTTAATAATCCCAACTTATTTTCACATTAGGAAATTCTAATGAACAATTACACCTTGTTATTGATCTCAGTGTAACTAAATATATTTCTATGAACTCATCTTTCAAATAACCTAGCCAACCTACACATATTTATTGTAACGCGACAGATTTTGTTAGTTTTAAGATGTCTATAGTTGCTAGACCAGAAGTGCATACTTTAACGGAAACGTACAATTAACGAATGACTCCATAGGCTTGACGCATCCTTCCATTTATTAGATATAAATATCAGTGAAGAAGAAACTTCCCTGACCAATCAGAATCCTCCCTTCGCATATAAGACAAAATGTTCTGCGATATACCTTCTGAGTATAAATGAAGCATTGCAGCAGACATTAACCAGAATTGGTTTTGACTTTTTTCCCGTTCAGCACGAAAAGCTATTTCACTCGAATATCTGACATTAAACATTGAACTCGTGCTCAGAAGCTAAGAGAAGTCAACAGTTAACTTGGTTGGCACAACTGAAGCCAACCTGGAGACATATTCATTTCATTGCACACATACACTGCAGCTTCATTGAGCATATGTTAAAAAAATGTTCCTGACTTGTATATATAAACACCTTGGTGTTGAAGTGTTTTTTTCATGATTTTTTGACTGTAGTATTTTCCACATTTAATCCATGGATATCGGGTGCCTTGTCATAATAACATTAAATTTCATTTTAACCCCCGCACCAAATACATAATAAGTATAATATCATTTTTGTAAGATTTTCTATATAATCTAATTCAACTCTTTATTAAATTTTTTCAAACTTTATTAAACTAATTGTTTTCGTTTTTAATTATATATTTGAGGCCGATGGCAATTGTGAGATTAGACGGAATTGAAACATTAGCATTGCAATTAAATTCTTATTTTTACTTTACTCTACCGAGAAAAGAAAATCAGATACGGTTAATTTCTAACGAATGAAAAGTAAGGAAAAAAGCCAAAATATTCACAATAACGGCAGAAATAAATACGAAAAATATATTTCCCGAATTAATTAAACAAAAGATCGAAATATTCCAATAGGATCGTATGTTCGAAGACCAGACAAAACATATTGAATCTTGGCTGAGAATTTTTTTTATTCATTAAGTATTTTATTCATTGAACTTTCACATTACCATTTATTCCGGTCTTTTATGAATTATGTTGATGAAAAAATATAATTGAACAACTAAAAAAGCACATAGAGCAGGTCTTTGTTCAGAATGATAAAAAGTTCTGAGAGTATTAGATTATGAAATTATTTGAAAGATGCCAGAATATAGTTGAACAAAATGGAAAATATTTAAATATATTATTTGTTATGTATTTTCAGATAGAGTGTATCTGTAAAGGAACAAAATAAATAAAAAAACAAGAGGGAAAAAACTATTCGTTTAATATATTCACAAAACACTATTTTACCAGAAATTGTAAACAAACTTAATAGCGTTGAAGCCACAATAGATTTCAACTTTGAACCTGAAGCAACTACACCCTTCCCTTCCTAGTTATCATGTTACATAGAAGCTGTAACGAATTCAAATTTGACGTTTACAGAAATCTACTAACAAGAACGACCTGGTCAACTTTTATTCCAACCACTCGAATAAGATTAAATCTGGTGTAATTATACCTAAGAGAATTAAAAATATGTTGCCCTCAATACCTAACCAAAGGAGAAACACATATAGAAAGCAGATTCAAAAATCTCCAACATGTTTATCACTTCATCCGTTGTGCAAAGAGAAAGGCATACAAAATACATGACCACAACAAAGATAACAAAAATATTTACAACAATAAACCAGACAAAAAACAGATATATAATACTGCTTATCAACTCTATAAAATTCACTAACCAAAACAACTTAACCCATCTAAACAACATCAAAACAGTCACAACCACTTCCAAAAACATTATGGATATGATCTAAAACACCCATAATAATAATTCAGAAGCAGGTATATATAAAATAAGTTGCCAAAACTGTTCATTACAATACATAGGAGAAGCATGCAGAAATTAAAAAAAAAAAACGTATCTATTAACACAAAAATGATCATATACGTAACAATTTATCAAATGCACTAGTCATACAAAGAAATAAATTCAATCCCAATTTTGATTTTAGAAATGCCACATTTATCAAAAGAGAAAGTAATTTACCGAGAAACTTCTCGAAAGTGCCGCTATCGAATCTTATGAAAATATACATCTACGTCCCGGTTTCTTTGCAATCTCAAAAATTCCCGAAAGAATTACTATTTTCCTAAGTTAACATACACAGCTACAAGAATGTAAAAAAATAAATAAATAAAAAATAACAAAAGAAAACGGTTAAAGTCATTACATCATGTTTTTAAAGATGTACAACACATATGTACATCCCAAACCACAACAATCTGATCACAATTTAAACAATATTCATTAAAAAAAAATCAAAAATATATTTCTTGAATATTACTCACTTATTTTTGTCTTACAAGACTTTGAATCATGGCACTTTGTGTTCTACACGTGTTTTCACTGACCTTTCAACCACCTGATGAATATTCATGAACATTCTCAAACTTAAAAGAATTGATTAACCAATGACATCCTTGCTCTTGTATATAAACACGTGCAACAAAATAAATCCCTCAGAGGACGAAACGTGTCGCCTAAGAATAGTTTTGCCTCTTGTATTTTTATTTATTATCTTTTTTCTTTATTAGCATTAGAATCTTCTGCTTGCATGTCCATACTACGATTACACTTTAATGTTTAGTATTAAGACTCACAAACCATCCAGTTATGACATATATGTGAAGTTGATCTTAGAGATCATTCGAAATCAGACAGCATTCTTAACCAAACGTAAGAATTTCTAGCAAAATGGACTGAGATATTGTGTTCGCTAATATAGCATTTTAGAAATATATAAAAAAAAGTTTTTTTGACCTCACGAGTACTAGGGTACATAGTCATTGGATATCAGTGGAGGTAGAATTAGTTTGTAGTCTTTATAATCTGTACTGCAGGCAAACAATTATATTCTTAGCGGTAATTTGGCATATGGTGATAACTTGGGCAGAAAATGACTTCAAAAGCCGATTGATGTCATTAGAAGTGACTTTGGTTCAAAATAATTATTTTTCAGCTAAACGGGAGAATTTAAAGAGTAAACAAACTTGACTTTTTAATATTATGTTGGTAACTTCGTATAATCTTGAAAAAAGCAAAGAAAATTATTAAATTTTCAGGATTAAATTTCTTGCAGCTCTTTTAAATATAAAAATACATTTTTAAATATAAAAATGGTGGGAATCTACAAAATCTACCAGTGGATCTGTGAGCGAGTCATTTTTTTTCTCCAAAGAAGAATATAGTCGAAGAAATAAACGGGAATGGTGGAAAACTGTACAAGTCAATTGGCACAACTCGAGACACAACTGAGTATATCCCATCCATTGAACTTGCTGGTGTTTCTCCTCAGAGGTTTCAACTAAAAGTTGGAATTCATATAATCTTCATAAGATATCTGTGCCATTCTAAATTCTGTAATTGAATTCAACTTTCTGTGCAGCAGTTTCTACCAAATGTCATCAAAGCAAATATTCTAATTGGGGTAGATAAAAAGGAGGATATGCCGGGATTCCTTAAATTCCAGCAGACTTTCATTTTGAATTCAATGATTCAGTTCCCAGTTAGATTCCGCTTTTTAATGATTAGACATAAGGAAAATATTCAAACAACCTGATTGTCACTATTTTTTCTGTGACTGCTTGTTTTTTGGGTTGTCTCCCCGCAAATTTGTTTATATAGTTAACTACTAGGACAAGCACTAGTGCTGCACACTCACAAGCACTGTAAACTTAAGGGACTATATCGTTTTACTTTTTAATCAGTATATTTTATCAGTAACAGTTACTTTATCACTTATAAATACTGCCCTTTTCATTTGTTGTTTTGTGCAAGAAGAAATATATTTTTTTTAATTGGATATTATTTTTTATACGAACAAGTCTTGATATTCGTTTGTACCTCATAAAGCGAACGAACTTTTTCAGTTACCGAATTGTGAAAAACGACATTTTAAAGGCTAAGAACTCAGGGATAGACATTCAGGAGTTCTCAGCTTTCTTTTAGGAATTTTATGAAACCTGGAGATTATAAATGTCTGAACATAAAAGTTTTATGGGTTTATGTTAAAAGTAGTATAAGAAATGGTGAAAATAAATTACTCAGGGATAGCGGCCATGTCATCCAATTGCAGAAGGCTACGTTATCATTTGGAATATTAAGGGTAGAAATATGAAGGACTTCCCCATTGCACTAAGAGGATCTGGGTGAAACCCAGTTGAAATGGGCACGTATTCATTTGGGGAATCATTAAACCTGGCCTTATATCGTATTTGCCCTCGCGGAGAGACAAATATATGCAATAGACATCTACGCACGCACTAACAAAAAAATACTCATCCTTACAACAAAGGGAACATTATTTACTGCCAAGTCTTTTTCATATAAAATCTTAAAACGGTTATTTGCGAATGTCGTATTAACCTTCAAATATATATTTTATGCAGCGTCATCAAAAACGTGACTAAAAGTCAAAGGTTTGACTACCCATGAGCTTGAAACGTGAGCCACTTCCGTTTCCTGTTTGCGTACCGATGATATATTGTATCCGTTAATGCGTACATTTTTATGCTGAGCAAAGAAGCTTTTGACAAATCTATCTATCTATCTATCTATCTATCTATCTATCTATCTATCTATCTATCTAATGTTAACTGTACAATTCGAAACAGTGGTCAACAAGTAAGGAAACAAGGAGAGAAAAGAAAGTTTTCAATTAGGAAATTTGAGAAAGGGTGAAATAATATTTTAATCTCTGCAACATTTCAGTTGTTCTAAAAATCAGATTAAGTATGGAGTTAGAACTCATCAAAAAATTTTGAAACAAGATTTTTCTTGAACTTTGCAAATTTGGACATTAAGAGATAGACACGAAGCAGTCAGTGTGGAATGAGCAAGTGATTTCTGAATCTGACTTTATTTAAATCTATAGATCGAGATAAAAGCAAAATTTCGAAAAGTGCGTTTGTTTTTGAAAGTTAACAAACTCTCAAAAACAAATACACTTTTCGAATTTTGGCTTTTATCTAGATCGTTTTCAACAGAACAGTTGAAGCTCTTTTTTTAAGCTACCTTACTCGAGAATAGAAACAGCATTATGAAAAAAGATTCTCGTAACCACATAGTAGTATATTCTTTCTCACAAAAGAAAAACGTAAACCAAAAAATGACTCAAATGCATAACAAATTTTTGGTTGGATATGTTAAAAAGTATGTTTGATTAGGCCTGACTGGTAACGTGTACTGGTATATGTAAGTGAGCGTCTCTGACTGAATACTGACATTGCTCTTAAGTCTCGTTGACATTTTATTGACATCCTAAAGAAAAACTAAGTCTTTCTTCTTTACCTGCTGCCACGCTGCCTTTTTTTATTTTTTATTTAGTTTTCTTCTTTGTAACGACCGCTTTCCACGTGTCTGTGTGTGTGTATATGTGTGTGTGTGTGTACTGTAAAACTGCGTTAAAATGTCACCAACAAATAGTATGAAGCATACGTCTACCTTTACAATAAGCATATGCCCAAGTACTTTACAATAAGCATATGCCCAAGTACTTTACAATAAGCATATGCCCAAGTACTTTAATATGAGAATAACCCGTGTTATTAAACGTCCGTATCGGTGCGTGAATGAGCGTCTTCGCGCTTTTCCCTGAAGAATTAATTCTAACCAATATCTGGTACATTTTTCAACAAGTAATTTGTCTCAGAAAAAAATGTGACGTGAAAACTCCTCTAGCAAGAAATTCTAAATCTTGATATTATGTCTTATTCTGTATGTCTTGAATTTACAATTTGGCTGTTATAAAATAATTAATTCTCTTTGAAGCTGCTTTGTTAGGAAACTTTGACAAAAGTTGATAAATTCCATCGATTGTTAGAGCTACACATTAATCTAGAGATCTCATATCGATGAGGAATATTATTTTTGATATTTTGTTTACATATATATTTCAGTTACAAAAACAAATTAAAAGTAATTTCTTTCCGAGTGAAAAATGGAGATATGCGTTTTCAAAAAATGAGTGTAAAAATGAACATTTTCATACTTTATGTGTAATTAAAGATGACTTTACATGTTTAACTGCCTGCATTAAATAATTGTTCAAATAATAAATCGAAAAGTAACACGTGACTTTTCAATCTTAACTTTTTTCGTTATCCATTGAGGCATTTGTTTCTCATGATTTTTCCTTATGAAGAGCAAAATAACGAATTTTGTTGTTTTTATTCTTGTTTATTCATTTATCACGAAGGATTAACATTAATCAATTAATGTTGGTAAAACGTTTAGTATATACTTATACTAATTTAATAAATACACCTTATTATGCAACTCAAGGTTTATTCATCACATTTTAAATAAATATATTTAGCAGTATAGCTATTGATATTTATTCTTTAAACATCAGATATATATAGAAAGTGACATGGGACATATCAAAATATTGTAAAGTTATTGAGTGATTGAGACATAACTTTAAAAATTTCAAAAGAACTTGAACGTAAAACAATCAAGACATAAATTTAAAAATGTTTGCAAGCATGCAAAATACCATCTTTAAGTAAAGAACACAAATAGAAACGTATAAATTGGCATAAAAACAGATTTCACAACTGTAATTTTTAATGATGATTGTAGAGCTATATTGGGTGGACCTGGTGTCTGCTTTAGATTTTATGTCGTTTATAGTAATTATCAACCAACAAGACTTAGAAGGCAACAGGAAGGGAGATGTTTGGGGCTAGTATTATAAGCAGTAAAATTATAGGACCCTTCAAATAGGATGGCGGTTCAAGATAAACACTCCAATAAATATATATATATATATATATATATATATATATATATATATATATATATATATATATATATATATATTATAGACCTGGCTACATATATGGCACTATAAAACACATAAACCTAACTATCCTCTCCGTCCTATCATATCGCAAATTCCAACTCCTGTATATCATCTAACAAAATACATCAACCAACTTATTACTCCCTATCTTCCTAGTAAATATAGTGTTAAGTCAACATTTGAAGTAATCCAAATCCTAAAAAGTGAAAAACCTGACAATGAAATCATGGCTTCACTTGATGTTGAAAACTTATTTACCAATGTCCCTGTTAGTGAAACTATTGACATAATCATAAGAAATATATACAGTAACTCATCTTTACCCCACTTAAAATTAATCCTAGTATATTAAGAAAACTACTATTAACTTGTACTACTGAAGTCCCTTTCTTCGATCATAATAACAATATATATATACAACGTGATGGTGTCTCCATGGGTTCAGTATTGGGCCCGACATTTAGCAATTTCTACATGTCGAACCTCGAAAATAAGTTATTTACAGATTTTAAAAACCATCAATCTACCTAAGATACGTTGATGATATTCTTATGTTAGTTAAAAAAATACAGATGAAATAATTCAACTTCAAAAACGGTTCCAAAATAATTCTGTCCTTAAATTCACATATGAACTCAATACTAATAATAAAATCCCTTCCTTGACATATTGATAAACACAAATAATAACAAATTTACTATTTCGCCATACAAAAACCTACAAGCATAAATTCATGTACACTTAACTACAAGAGCGAATGCCCATATTACTACAAATTAGCAATTATAAAGAATCTAATACATCGTGCAGAAACTAATTCATCCACCAAACAGATTTTTTTACAGTGAACTAAAGAATATAAAACAGACACTTATTAATAATAGCTTTCCAAACTATATAGTTGATGAACAAATAAGATGCTTTCTTAGAAATCTCAATAATAAGCAAATTGTACATAATACTGCTTCTACTGATCTCAAATATATTAATCTCCTATATCGTAATCAAATGCATACTAATTATAAACAAGATGAACACATACTAAAAATTTTAGTAAATTCTAATATATCAACTACAGATCCTAAAAAAAAAAAATTAAATTAATCATATACTACACTAAATCTAGTATATCCAACTTAATACTTTCGCAATGATTCTTCCCCCAGTTAGCGATTTGCAAAAAAAAAACCAACATAGTTTATAAATTCAAGTGCCCTTTGGGAGAGTGTATCTCCAACGAATTAAATAATATTTATGTTGGTCACACCACAAACTCGCTTTCACGACGCTTGACACTACATTTTAATGAAAACTCTAACATTTTTAGGCATTTAAAACAACATGCCTGCCCGCACACACAATTCCGTAAAATACTTGTCGAAAACACAACTATACTTCGACATGAAAACAATAGACAAAAACTAAAAATACTTGAAGCATTATACATCAAACAGTTAAAACCCAACCTAAACAAAATCAACTATGGAATCTCTACAAATATTCTTAAATGTCTATAATTTCTATAATTGGTAACAGAAGCCATTGGTTTATACCAACGGCTTTCCTTATTTCATTCTCCAATTCACTCTCGTGTAGTCATGCGTGACGTCATGAGATGCGGTGCGATTTTCGCTTCTAGCGTCTTATATGCGCGTGTTCATCGTTGCTTAGTGATCCACTATGTAAACTAAACAATGACAGACTATCATCACTGTCGTGTCCGTATATTGTTTGATATGTTTGTAATTACATCTTTGATAATGGCTTGAGTAAGCCGAAAGCTTAGATTATATTAAAAAAATAAGGGATAAATATTGTGAATTTCTTTTTTCGGTTAATGATAATGTTATCAAACTTATCAGAAGATACGAAAAAATTTTACATAAAATAAATAGACAACACTTGTCTATATTATTTAATGAAACGTGTATATATATATATATATATATATATATATATTTGTCTTGTAAATATTACATAACACTCCTTTCGAAACCTCTCCGTTGTGATAAGTACAGCAGGAATTCCAAGTTCTTCATAGTTTTTATGGGAATGATGGAAATTATTGATAGATTTTTTAATGTCGTTGTTCAATATGCATACCATGATTGTTCGTTAAGCGTTTAAAATTTGAATTAGAGGACACTCTAAAATATTTTGAAATGCTGTATAAAAAGAAAAGGTAAACTCGGCACAACCCTAAGTGACGTATGTTTCTGGTATATTAGACAAAAATGAATTAATGTCGTTACTATTTAATGAAATTTACATTTATTTATATTATGTATTATTATTTTATTTTATAATGATTATTTCATTTATTTTGATTTTTATATAGGTTATGAGTTAACTGTTTTCTTTTAAGATTTAAATTTTTTTTATAGCTATACATAAATATGTTAGTATGAGAATGGATCATTTTATTTAAGAAAGATGATATTTGAAAAAATCCAGGGCATAAGTTAATTAAGAAAAACTACAGATCCACGGAGCTATTTGAAAACCCTGAAAGAATTATTTAACAAATAAATTTAATAACAAATAATGGATAAAAACACATATCAAGATAATATGAAACTCCTTCTTGTGGATAACAACACATATAAAAAAAGTAAAAGAACACATTATTATAAAAGTGACAGAAAACTTTAAATGTAAAATCAAGAAATTACTAAAAAAAAAAAAATGAAGATATTTCCTGGATAAAACTAATGGAAACATCACCCTAAAGTACACTTACGGATGACCAAAAGTAGGTATAAATTTTCTATATCTAAGGTTTAAAATGATTTTTTAAAAATGAAAACACATTCTTGAAGGTTTCTTTTTAGCTTTAATTGAAAGCTAAAGGATTAAATTGACTCCAGTAGGTAATATACTCTGGTGTATTTCAAGTAGAAATTATATAGATTGAAATGCCAAATATTTGCCTGATTTAAAAAAAATCTACAGTCGGCTATTTCTTATATTTTAACATATTTTAAAATAATATTTAATTATCAATTTTAAAAATCTTTCAAAAATAAAATATATATTTGTGACACGTTGAGTAAAATTAGCTAATTTAAAGTTAAATTAATCTGAGTCAAAATAAATATTACTTACTTATAGCATAAAAAATAGTATAGAAACATTTCTTGACGACGGGTCCTGTTTTACTCATGTCTTTAGTGACGTTATCGATAAGCTCCGAGGTGTTGACAGCTAGTATGGATGACCAGAATTGACATAATTTTACGAAATCTAAGTGAACGCATATTTTTTTTTGATTTTTAACTACCTAGTAATTTTTATAAATAAACATATTTCCAACAATTATCTAATATTCTATTGACTTTTAGTTACGTTTGAAGATACTTTATGAAAAATAATAAACTTTAAAATACTATAAAATTTTTTTAGATTAATTTTAAAATTTAATAACTGAGATGAAATACCATGAGAGAGCACATGACCTGCCATAATAATGTTACGTATTGACCAATATAGATGAAAAATGGGAATGCTTAAAGTAAAAAAAAATTATTATTTTAAAAATATTGGTGCAAAACAACTTATATTAAGCTTTTCAATTTTTGATTCGTAAATATAGTTTCTACATAATTACAATATCACCTAAAAGAAATATGGTGTAGGTGATGTTTATACGACTTTTAAATTATGATAAATTATTATAATGCAAATTTAAAAAGTGAAAAATTCTTGTAAAAATTCATTATTCATCGACATTTTTTCTTAAGACAATAATGTCCTAAATAGAACTCATTTACGAAAGCAATTAGAAGGTTTTCTAATTAAATAATGTCATTAGTTTTATAACATTCTTTTAGTTTACCATTCGGAGCAGATTTTCAGAAAACAAGAAAAAGTTTGAAAAAATGATTTATTTATATTCTCCAAGGATTCCTACTTTTAACTAATAAAAAAAGTTTCGATATAAAATTTAATTCTTGAAATTTCATGAAATTAAATAAGTGGGGTGTAACATATGCAAAAAATAAAATAATAATTTCATTCATCTGTGAATAGTTTTTGAAAATTTCATTAAAATCCGATAATTATTTGATTTTTGCAAGAATTTCCAAATCAATGTGTCTTTACACCGGAAAAAAGCGCAAAAATACTTCATTGTAAAAATTACTTGCGTCGCGGACGTAAAAACAGAATTTTTTAATTAAAATTTCGAATGTGTTAGAAAGGTTTTTAAAAAATTAAAAAATACTTTGGTCTTTTCTCTTAATAATAACAAACATTTTGACGATAAAACTTTGTTTTTATTAAGTTTGAGGTCATTTTTCATCATGCTATGCTGTTATTTTAGCGAAAAGCGGATGTGGCTAAGCAAAAGTACATAAATCAGGTTTTCAAATGTGATCCATTATACCAGGAACATGTAGCAGACGACATTTATTTATTTTATTCTATTTTACAATTTAATATTATTGTTTGTCATTTAACACATTTTTACACCAAAAATGTGAACACATTCAGCTATGGCACATCAAGTTAAATTCTGTGAATAGGATTAACAAATATTTATTTTCATATAAATCTACTGATTATTTTATTTATTTTATATTTTTATTTGTTTTATTTATTTTATTTTTTATTACTATTTTAATTAAATTATTAAATTAATCAATCTATATTCATATATTACATATTATATGTTTTGCATAAGTGAAAATGAAAAAACTGCGTAAAATGGAAACGCGGGGAGAGAGAATGTATGTTAGGGACAAAGTGTATGGGTGTTTGTGCACACGCGTATGTGTGTGTGTATGTATGTATGTATGTGTGTGTGTGTGTGTGTGTGTATGTGTGTGTGTGTGTGTGTGTGTGTGTGAGAGAGAGAGAGAGAGAGAGAAGAGAGAAAGAAAGAGAATATAAATCAGACGTTATTGCCTCGACCTACTTCCTTTATGACTGAAGTTATTTTTTTTAGCCGGCAATGGCTTTATTGGACCGATAATGTTTTTCATTTTCTCTCACTTAGGTATACACTTTTTCGAACATATACTTTCTTTTTCATACAGAGATTTTCTCTCTCTACCTCACTTATCTTTTTTTCTCCTTAATCTTTCATTTTTTTAAATCTCAACACATATTTATCATTTCATACGCATTTTTCTCTTTTTGCACAGAGACACTATCCTCATTTACCTCCAAAATTTCTCATGACACATACTTCATAATTTTATTTTTTCTTTTTCTTCTCTTTTTCTCTCTCTCTTTATATATATATGTGTGTGTGTGTGTGTGTGTGTGTGTGTATGTATATATATATATATATATATATATATATATATATATATATATATATATATATATATATATATATATATATATATTAAATCCTCATTGGTGTATATTCATATCTGGTTTAAGCTCAAATCGATTCTGAAGCGTCATTTTAATTTATGTTATTTGAGAAATTCTACATTAACCCTTATATGTTTAAGAATTTCCCAAAAGGTCAATGACATTTTCTTTCTTTATTTGAATTTTTTATTCGTTATTAGAATTTTCACACCATTGATTGAAGTTTGTTATTTTTATAATTCCCTACCACCACATTTCATCCGTTTGTAATTTCCTTTATTGTTTCCTTTCCATTTCTTCTTCTTTTTCTTTCCATTTTTCGCATCGTCGAGGTTTTTCACTTTCTCTTTCATCATCTTTCTGTTCTTCCTCTTCGTCACTTTTCTCTCTCTTCCTTTATCATTTCCGTTTTCTGTCCATTTTTTTTTTTAATTCTTTCTATTTTCTTTCCTTCTTTCTCTTCGGATATTGCCTTTTCTCATTTTATTCTTTCATTTCTTTTTTTTTAAGTTCATTCCTCTTTTCATCCCCTACTTTTTCCTCGTGTTTCATTTCTCCTTTCTTTTCTTCCAACATTCATTTCATCGTTTCCTTGTTTTTTTTCTCTCTCTCTTTTATATTTTCTCTCTTTTCATACATATGATAGATTTTCTTTTAATTACTGTCCCATTATAATCTAAAGATATTATTTTCAGAAAATTTATATATCTTTAGGATTTCTTTTCTTATTATGTTATAGTATCATTTATTTAAGGTTTTGACATGAAGTCAGTGGTTCTTTTATCTTTCCATAGTTGGTAACGAATGCCTACGTGAGAGCTTACTCGTTTTTGCCAAGAAATAACCATTACTGTTCAACGTTATTTCGAAATCATATTGTTCAGGAAGTCATAAAAGCAATGAAAATTTATAATGATTTTCTTTATTACTTTTATTCACGTATTATTTTTTTAGATGAAGTTAATAAAAATTTTCTGTATATATATATATTCAAATCACGTAACTTCTTACTGATTACTGTTTTTTTCCCCCATGATATTTAGGGAATCATCCCTGTAAGATAAGTCCACAAGATTTCAGCTAAAACTCCCGGGTGAAAAGTCGCAAAATTTAATTAAACAGAGATCATTCCTTTGAATAGCATGTCTTCATTGCATTTAAAGACGAAAAATAGTATGTTACTTCGTGAAAGGTGTTTCAAGTTATTCTATGGGCAATCACTATGAAGAAGCAACCCAGGGTCGTTTTCTGGAAGATGGAAATAATAAATATAGAGATTAAATAACCGAGCTTTTGTTAAAATTAAAGGACATACAAATAAAACTTCTTTTTATTATTATTGAGTAAGAGAACCGGTCACCAACAAAGTGACGCTGAACTAGAAATATACAAAGCCCCAATATACCCAATGGTGGCACCCAGTCTGATAAGGGTGTAGCAAGTACATGGATCGCAACGAAATATACGCGATATGGTGAGAGATTATAAATCAGCAAATAATCTTGCAGTTAGAGCTCAGTTAGAAATATTTTCAAGTTAGGTAACTCCCTTCCACTCAGATTATTATTATTATGATTATTATTTTATTTCCCTTGATTTCTGGTGTGTACTCATTTCTTTCCGGGTCCCGACCAGAGTTCTAAGGTCTAAGGTCAGAAATGGCATCATGGTATTTTCCATTGAACAATTAAAAAATTCACACATATTTTACATAGATCAAGTCCTTCGTAAGGCGTGGACTGTAATCGTGAGAACAGTTTTTTGTATTGGGCTGCCAGGAATCCCTTCAATGAGTCTACTGGAAACTTTTCCAATCAATCCGAGGGCTCCAACTACAACTGGAATTGTTGATGTTCTCATGTGCCACATTTTTGAGATTTCGATTTCAAGGTCCTTTTATTTTGATAGCTTTTTGAAGATCTTCATAGATACACTGTAGTCTGCAGGGACTGCCAAGAAGGCACTTTTTTGTTTGCAGTCTCTAATAACTGAGCGATTAGCTTTGATTGTTCTATCTGTGTAAATTGTGAAGTTCCATAAAATTGTTACAGATCCTATCTCCGTAACCGGATTTGGGTGGTGTTTATACCAATTTATTTTAGTTCCCTTTCATTAGAAGTTGCAGATTTTCCAATGCACATATTGGCCCACTCTGTCATGCTGAGTTTTATATTCAGTAGGTGCCAGTACCGTGCAGCCTGATCACAGAATCTGCATTTTGGGCTAACACAATTTTTCAGTATGTGTGCTTGATAATTTCTAGTTGACACGCATTAGTCCTATGCAACAAGAATAAAACCTTCTGTTTCAGTTTTTAACCCTGCACTACGTAACCACTGATTAGTACAAGGTTTGTCTATATCAGCTTGTTTGGTAAGGGGAGAGTATTGGCCATGAAGCGATTTATCTTGCCATTGTTTCTGTATCTGGTTGGTTGCATTTGCTTTCTTTTTTTAAAAAGTATTTTGCAGATTCAGTCGGTGTTTTGCGCTTTACTTGTATTTCTTCATCCATTTTGAAACTTGGCTTCCTTTATTACTGAATAAAGTGGCTTACTACTTTCATGTTCTTTGACACATATGATCATCCAGTCTTTTGTAGCTTCCAGGTATCTTTGAAGGCCAATTGTAGTTTTGTAGGGCAGTTCTAGATGAACTAATGCTCTGCCTCTTTCGGATCTTGGCACATACAGACGATCAACATCAGCTTTGGGATGATGCATGCAGTGGTAGGTGAGAAGATTTCTCGTTTTGGCGCCCATTCGCTTAATGTCAGTTATGGTCCAGTTAAGAATGTTGAAACTGTATTGCACCACAGGGAAAGCCAAGGTGTTTATAGCTGATATTCTGTTTTTTGAAGTCAGTACCAGACGCATATGCCTGTAGTATTCATTTCTTACCATCTCCTCCATTTGGGTCTGATGTATTCCATCTCCTTCGCTAATTCCTAGGTACTTATAGGTTTCATCTTGTTCTAGTTCCCGAATAGAAAATCTAAATCTATTGTGCTTCTGTAATTCTCCCTTTCTTGAATGTTGCTTTTTTACCCATTTATCTAATCCGAAATCCATACCTATGTCGTCACAGAAATATTTTACAGTATTGAAGAGACCCTTTCTCGTCTTTGGCGAAGATTTTGAGACCATCCATGTACAGTAAGTGATTGAATACTTTCTTGTTTAGTTTGTAACCATAGCTATTGTTATTTAGTTCATGTATAGTTTCATATTTCTTTCATGTTCTTTAATAACAAAGATCATCACCAGTAGTTTCCCGGTATCTTTTAAGACTGATTTTTGTAGTTTTATAAGACAGTTCTACTTGACTTAATCCCCTGCCTCCTTCAGATTTGGATGATTTATGCGGTGGCAAATGAGAAGCTTTCTCAATTTGACATCCATTCTAATATCACCTATAGATCTAGTTAAGGATGTCGAAACTACATTGCACCACAGGGACGGCCAAAGTGCTTATGGCTGATATTCCTTTTTGTGAATACAACTTGGTATTTAACACCAGACACACATACCTGTAGTATTCTTTTCTTACTTTCTCCTTCATTTGAATATGCTGTATTCCATCTCCTTCACTGATTTCTAGGTATTTATAGATTTCTTGTTCTGGTTCCCTAATCTTTGTTAGAAAATCTAGATATATTCAGTGTGTTTCTGTAATTCATTATTTTAAATTAAATGTTTTTATTGAACATTTATCTAATCTGAAATCCATACCGATGTCATCACTGAAAAATCTTTAAAGTATTGAGGATACTCTTCAACTCATTGTCATCTTTGGCAAAGAGTTTGATATAATCCATGTAGAATAGGTGATTAAACACTTTCTTGTTTAGTTCATGCGAAAGGGGGATTAAAGACAGACAAAACAGAAGGGGCGACACGAAATCTTGAAAGATTAATTGTCGGATATTCAAGGGACTAGAAGTGGCAGAGCCTTTGGAATGATTTTGGTATAAAACGGTTTACCACAGTTCCATGCTATATTTAAGGAAATTTACTATTACCAAGATGACTTTGTGCATTTCTAAAGCCTTGAGGAATGCAAGAGTGTGGCACATTATCAAAGGACTTTACGGTATCCAAGCTGTGTTGATGTTTCTACCTTTTTTCTTGCAAATTTCCAAGCTCATTTTATTTATCAGTAGTTGATTTTTGCAATCATATGAACCTCTTTAGCATCCCTTCTGTTCCACGTAAAGAATATTGTTTTCATCGAGAAAAGAGTAAGGTTAGTTCATCAAAACAGGCGTGATCAATTTATATGTCGTAGACAGACATTTTATTAGCCTATAATTATGGTTCATCTGTTTCTCACATTTTTGGTAGGCAATATGTAATTCAGTGATCCATTTTGGAATTTCATTGGGGCTTTTAATTAGCATTGATAACGTTTGCGCAAGGGTTTTTTGGATTATTGACAGATGATAGAATCAAAAGTCATTTCCTGTGGATTTTCATTTTTAGGATTTTGTTAAAGCTTGACTTACACTGGTTATATTTTCCCCATTCTTGTACAGGTTTATCCTTAATTCTTTCTTGTTCTCGTTTAATTCATTCTGCATTGGAATTATATTCCTTTGGGTCGTTCCAAATATTCTCGAAAATTTTTGCATTTCTTCAATAGATGGCTGCTTTTTGACTGCTATAAATTCTTTTCTAATTTTTCTGTAAAACTTGTTCAGGTCCATTTGAGATATCTTATTTTGCCGATAGAACCTACAACGCTTTTCATATCATCTTTGTTCTCTGTACTTTAATTTCAGTTTCTTTTAATATTTTTCTGATTGGCGGAATTTCATTTACTGCTTTAATTTTTTCATTTCCGCTTGATCTTTCTGTTTTTCCGTGTTGAAACATTTGAATCCCTTTGAATCGCATCAAGTATCGATAATTCACATCTGATTTTTTCAATTTCTCGCTTTAATTTTGCATTCCAAGCAATCTCATTTTTGTTTAGTAAGAGTAATCTGTTTTGTAATACTAAGCTATTTGATTAATAAAAGTAATTAATTAATTTGATTAAGAGAAATTAATCAAATTAATAAACTAACGGAAATTTTGAAGATGAGCCCGATCACCATCGTTACTCACGTTTAAGTTACATTCCAACACACGCTGTGTTTAATTTATTTTGTCGTGTTAATTATTTATTTTCTCCTGTTGATTATTTATTTTGTCGTGTTGATTACTAGTACAGCTGTTTTTCTCAAGACAAGCCCCATACAAAGACTTGAATTTTGTAATATTTTTATACTTATAAGCAATTTTGTTATATAGGAATAAAGTGAACATGGATCGCCAATGAAAAAACACAGGCAATCCCATTGTTGAATGAAGTAGACCACGTGACCATAGAGGAAACGCATATATGTAGGAAGTAGCTAACGACTAACGATCTGCATTTCTAGTCTATCCTCTATTATTATATGGACCGCTATTCTTTATTCTATTCACTGTACTATTTCTCTATTCGGATCACTATTTGTTGGTTGCTTTTCGAGTGAGTATTAGCGAGCAAGTACTATTAGTGCGAGTGCTATTCGAAGGCTTCTGACACCAGTATTGTTCAACGGCGTTACTATAGTTGTATCTGCGATTACAAGGTCTCTACTACAACGAGCATTACG